TATGCATTCCGTCCCATCCATTCATCAATCCATCTATCTATACTTTATTTCATATATTCTCTTGCTTACAATAATTATATTTCTCCATCTATGACAATCGGCTTGACTATGATATTTACTGACATGTTTTGTGTGTTTACAGGCTGAAGACGATACAGGGGCAACACCTTTACTGATTGCRATTTGGTCTGGAGATAAGGACTGCGTTAAAACACTTTTAGACTTTGTAAGTGCTTATCAGCCTTGCTTATTATTAGCATTAAGGACGGATTATTGGGAGGAGGTGCGTAAAACACTCCAAAAATAAAAATATCGAACAAGCACTCAATCACTTCACCTAGTAAGATAATATCACGCAATGTCTCCTTTCAGGAAAGTAATATCGAGCAAACACACACAAAAATTGCGTGCAGGGGTTGTAACGAAAATAGATTCTGCAACATAAATTCCTGCACCCCCCCCCCCCCTCAATCGTCTAATGTTCAATCCCTTAAATATCGGTTTTCCATCTTTCCCCCCCTCTTTTTGGAATATGGCTATGCTTATATAATTTGGTAAGATTTTTTTTATATGCCACCATCATGGCGGAATTGAAATAACGCATGCTACTTTAACTATTTTGTTCTGCTCTTGATAGGGAGCAGACCCAACAGCACGGTCTCCTGATGATGAGTCATACGTTGATTGTGCAGAGGAGTTTCCAGAGATACAAGCCATGATAAAGAAAGCTATCAAAGAATACTAGGTAGTTTTATACTATGGATCCACTTATGCTTGATTTTGGATAAATGTTATGGATAAATGAATTGAATGCTTGGAATGGGATAGACCCAGTGATTAGTTGGACGGACGGACGGACGGACGGACGGACGGACGGACGGACGGACGGACGGACGGACGGACGGACGGACGGACGGATAAACAAAGAGAGATAGAGAGAGGGGAATTAAAGAAGGGATAGATGTAAGAAGAAAGAATAAGAAATGTACTATGGATGGCGGGAGAGAGGGAGAGAAGGAGGAGGAGAAAAGAAAAGGGTGCAATAAGGGGCGAATTAGTGTATTGACTTACAGACGTACGAATGAACGGATGATCATGACTGAGATGCATTGGTCTGAGAGCAAGTGAAGATTTCCAACAACTTAGCGAAAAGTCAATATGTTTTCTTTTTTTTCTTTCTGCAGATGTCGTAAAAGATAACGTCCAGCTATGACATGAGAAAAAGATCCAATTTATAATAAAAACACAAATAAAGTCCCTCATCAATTAGTTATGACTGAGGTTGCGGTATTGATTGCAAGCTTGGTAGATATGATTTTTTCCAAATTACTGCTTGCCCGCGTTGATTGTACCGAGGCTAATAAAATAATATTTATCATTTGTAACTAAGAAATTAAAAGGCAAGGGCTATCCGTTAAATCAGTGTTCAATTTCTCCATGCTCTCCAATCAGAGAACATTTTGTTCGAAGCTCATTAATTGCTACAGTGTAGTGCCAGGTTTTCCGCTCAATGAACAAGATAAAGAAAATAAGACTTGTCGGTGAAATATTCATAAAATATCTTTTAGAAATAGCTTATTTCGGCGTTTATAGTGAGATATTTCCTTTTAAACGAGAGATAATAAAATACTACTTGGAAAGTTTTGCTGTGGCAAACAATGCATTGCAATTAGTGTCAAAACTGACACGTGTCTATGACGTATATTTTGAGAGCCCCCTTAACCCGGACACCCATTTAATACGGATACTTTAGCCTGTCCCTTTGGTGACCGTTCTAACCGGGTTCCAGTGTGTTACAGCTGTAAATGTATTACGAAAGGACAACATAGATACAACATCAAGAAAATAAATAAACAACAAAAACAAAAGAGGATTGAATGAATTAACTTTCAAAACCTTTGGCAAGCAGGATACAAATGACACTTCTAGATTGAATTTTTGCAGTATTAGCATAGGTTTTGCCTACTCTTCTGTTTGTTTGATATCCTGAAGGTATTGCTTTTTCAATCCATTAAGATATAACCACAAACCCTGTTTATCCAGACGTGAGTTGTTGGCTGCTTGGAACAGTTTTGTTGCCAACCGGAATTTGGCTTTTTGAACTCGACCTTCTGGAGACAGCAAATTCGACAACTATATAAAGGATAAAAGGAAGAAAAAATAAAGGGAAAGTATCAAAGGAAATTGATTAAAGGGAAAGAAAGGGAAMATAAAGAAAGTAGAAAGAAATCTAGATAGGAGGAGGAGGAGGAAGAGGAAAAAGCAGTATAAAAGGTAGTAGAAGAACAAGAAGATCCTAAGGGATGTGAGGAACGTCCATATTTATAGAATTGGGGGAGGGACAGAGAAGTGTAGGGGATGCACTTCTATCACAGCTAAGTAGAAAGGGTTCAGTTTTATTCAATACAGAGTTGTGCCACTGAAGAAGACTGGAAAAACAATGGGTTGGTTTAAGGTATTTATTCGTTTGAAAAAGCTGAGAAGAGGAAAGGGTTATTGATTTTTGTGTGGGCCATATATACATACATGTAATCAATCGACTCCCCGACCTATCAATTTTATCGCCGGAATACAGAAAGTAATCAACTTTTTCTTTAACAAAAATTGTAATGAGTTTTCCAACCTTTTCACCTCTGGAAATGGTATTTGAAACCTCTTTTGCCGACTTGATGATCGACGACGGCAAAGTTGAAATTTCAGCTAGCTGTAATCCTGACATAGAGAAAATGAAGCATATTAATAGACCAGCATAAAAAGAAGTTAAAAGGAGGAGATACTTAGGGAAGGGAAGAAAAGGAGGGAAGAGGCTGCTAGTCTATTTATCAATGTCATTTATAAGATACATGTCATTATCTGTTTGGATGAGAGCGCGTGCTTTATGAAAGTACACAGCACTGCGCGCAATTTCTATTTTGTCATTTGTATCCAAAATAACGATTACTCTAATGGTGTTTTATAAATTTTTGAGGGCCATTAGTTGATCAGTTATCTTTATGTACTGTTAACTGTTACCCTCTCTAAATAAAGATTATTGTATTGYATTGTATTGTATTGTATAAAAAAATAATAATAATTACTTGCTGTGCTGTGTGCGGTTATAAAGCACTTGGGGAATAGCAGAACACTTGAGAAGTGTTAAGAAGCACTCCGCTACCCATCGTGCTTCCCCTAACCCTTCTCTTGTGTTCTCCCAATCCACGCGTACTTTATAGCTATACACAGCACACACGCGCATTTTCTATTTCTTTAATTATTAAAAGGTAAAAACGCATATTATTATCTTTATCAACTTTAGGGGTTACGTACTGCTCAGGGTTACGTACTGCTCAGGTGTTTTCCCATTTCAGACCCCGTCTTATTCCATAGAGTATCATTTCTTTGTTTAACGGTTGAGAGAAGACGCAACTCAAACAAAGAATCCTATTCTCAAGAGAATGAAACGTAGCCTGAAATGGGTAAACATTACGCCCAAGGTAAAGAGGTCTATTGGAAGAGTGAAGGGCTGAAGGACTATGCACTATAATACCATCTGTTGAGGAGAGACTTGAGGTCGCTTTCTCTTGCTAGATTTCATACAAATATGAAAAATCATCTTAATGGTTGTGGTTGCGCGCTACATTAGTCAATTCCATACCGTGAAAGCACCTCGTGCCGTACGTATGCCCTTTAAAAGTCATTAGAAAACTCATTGATAATTCATGAAGAAAACACAATAGAAATCATGACCATGAAGGTGATTTTATATCTGATATAGATTCGTCTTCATTTGCATAAACTTTAACTTGGATTTTCTCTATCAAACTTGGTTCATTTCGTAAATAATTCTGTACCATATGAGAACATACATCATGAGTTTTCTAAGCAGTTTAATAAACTAGCAGATCGTCTCTTATCGGGTCTAAAACCACTCGGCTGCGCCTCGTGTTTCATACCCGATAAAACACTCCTGCTCGTTTTTTAAACAGTACTTAAAAAACGGCCTTATTCAATAATCATTTTCACAGTTCCTCGCGCCATCTTGAAAGGTAGCCGTGCCTTTGCATCGAAGCGAGACGAACGGTGAGCTTGCAATGATAGAGACCTTTTTTAAACACCTTGAACAATTTATTCACGTCTTTATCATTGCAAGCTCACCGTTCGTCTCGCTTCCATGCAATGGCACGGTTACCTTTCAAGATGGCGCAGGGAACTGTGAAGAGGACTATTACCGTAGTGTCTTTCTTCTGTGCGTCCCTTTGACAGCGTGTGAGAATACAGTATCTTGTTACAACCAGCTTCGTCACTGAAGGATCTCTATACAAAAATAGCAAATAAGAAAAATATTTATGATTCATTTTTAACTGATTAATATATAAAGAGTTATAAATACAAAGTAAATAAGTGTAATTAGATAGAATATAATTAGACAGAGTATAATAGGTAATTGTGGAAGACTCCCAAAGTAGCATCAGCTTTCGAGTTCCATTGGGAGTCGTAATTGCTAAATGCTAAATAAACACTGAATATGTGGTGGAAAATATAACTAATTAATTGTAAAAGAAAAGGTAAACATGCAGATACAGCTCATACGGACAATTATTTATTAAGACCCTTTTATATATATCTACAAGTAGTATATCCAAAATTATGGGATATCTTTTTTAGAAAGCCCTAGTGACGGACAACTCGAAAAAACTTTTGATATACTTGTTTATATGTACCAAAGGGTCAAAGTTTTTGCATATGGCTGTATATATCAGGGCCGTAATTAGGGGGGCACGTGCACCCCCCCCCCCCTTCCATAAAAGCTTAAGGTCCGCTCATCCATCTCCTTTCTATTTTGGTTCTGCTTCCTTTTGGGGTTACCTTTTTTTTGGGGGGGGGGTCTGCAAATTATTGCCTGTTCGCCTCCCTGCAAGATCCCTAGTTACGTCATTTTTTGTAATAAAAAAACGATCAATGGTCCGATTTTATTCCATGTGCACCCTCCCTGTAAAAGGTCTGGTTACGGCCCTGTATATATATGTATATATATATATATATAGGATTGAGAAAAGAGAAATACGTATGGAGTTACATAAAGCCATATAATCTTTGCCTATTGTACGCTTGCTTCTCTTTTCTCAATCCCGTCCCATTCTTATTCTTTTTAGTATCCATCAAGTGCATGGGGCGAAAGAACCCGAATGAAACGCTAGAAACACCGACAATAACCTTTGCTCACAATACTGAAGCAATAAAACAACTTATGTCTGGGCAGAGCGCAATAACTAACAGCCAGTCATAGCACAAAACCGACCAACTAATCACAATTCAGATGAGGCTACGAGACACACCATCCAGGTTAAGGTGCTGACACACGGTGCAACATTGCACGCAACATTGCAAGCAACAAATTTGAATCGGGGTGACACACATTGCAACAAAATCACGCAACATCGCTTGTGTCAGCYTGCTATTTTAAGATATTTGGTCAGCAGTTATAAATTTGGTGCAAGCTGATTGGCTGGAAATTTCAAAATGTTGCACGCAATGTTGCAGCCATGTTCACACGATGAAATGTGTTGCTCGCAATGTTGCAAGTGTAGAGCGCGATTCAACTTCAGATTTGTTGCATGCAACAAGTTTCAGGGGTAGACACACGCTGCAACAGTCCTGTTGCGTGCAATGTTGCATGCAATGTTGCACCGTGTGTCCGTACCTTTACACGACTATAGTTAAAACCCTCAATCGTGATACAAATGAATAAGTATCATTTACTAAAACAACTTATTTTGGAAAATTCGTACCTGAACTTCCAAGTGAAGGCTGTAAAAAACAAAATGGAAAGACAAAGACTATATATTAGCAAAACATGTATCAATGAAAAATTGCCATCAATGAAGTAACTTTAGGTCGTTTATTATGAAACCTACTTTTCAACGTTTGGATAGAGCTCATCCATGGCAGTCAACTCTAGAAAGTGTGTGGCAAAGAATGTAAAAGCCTGTTGAAAAAAGGATTTATATAGGATTGAGAAATTGCCCATTCCCCTGTCAGCCACCAACCTACCCTGCGAGCAGAGTCTCCTATTGAATCATCATCATCAACACAATCACCACCCCCATTATAGTCATCATTGTCCCAATCACTATTATTATAAAGTCTCTTAAATCTTTAATGCTACGTCATGAAATTTAACCAACATTTCGTATTCTATTATTTTAAAGCACGGCGTCCTTGTAAAGCAGGCTATTTTCCCTTGAGTGATACATTTTATTTTTATAACTGTAAATACATACGGTCAATGTCATTAACGTTGTCCACCGAAAAAAGACACTTACACATTTACACATTTAGACTAAAAGAAATATCACGTGTTTCATT